GTCCAGAAGCCAGTTGTCTTTGTCTATTCTTGCAAGATTTTCGGAAACTGCTTGCTTGCATTTTCCATCTTCTCAGGTTTTACTATGTTCCTTCTCAAGTCTTTGATGGAGTTGAAGACTAGATAGTTACAGCTACAATCTTCTCATATTAGCTAGAACATATTAGTACTAGAACCGGAATCTTTGAGACAGGACAGCTATTGGAGTAATCTCGGTAATTGGCCATTTACCTATGTACTGGACATTTCTGTACATTTAGCATGTCTTAGTTGTTTGATGTTGTTCTTGTTGGTTTTTGCCACACCAACTCCAGTGTCGTCCATGTGACATAAACAATTATGTCAATAATAGCGGACGGGAGATACGTGTCCCACGGGACTAAGCTCCCTGGAGGTCCCTGGCAGAGTTATGCCTCCTTCTCGAAGAAGATGTGCCTCACGGATCATGAACTCCCTGGGCTATGGGTTCTGTATAACTGCTTTTCTGATAATGTTCTACTTAATCTATGAAACACAGCCAAAATTAATGAATGTTTGGGTTGTGAACTATGGAGGAAAGGGAAAGCTGGACATGGATCTTAATCAAATGTAGCAGAATGAACTATTTTTTAAGACCCCAAGCCACTAGATAAAAAAAGTATAAAGGTTCAGGCACTTCTAGGGAATGAACACTCACCCACTAGGAATCCTTTAGAAATCCCAACTAAAGTGATTTATGACAGAAGACGTTATCTCATAGGAGGCAGATGGTGGGCCCCTCCATTGAGGAAGTTCAGCATGAGAAACTTAAGGACTACAACAGAACCCCTTCCCTTTACAGGTGTAAAAGTACAAGAGTCCATATTCCAACAGGTAAAAAGGTTTTATATTAAAAGAGATATGTGATAAAAGAACTAAAAAAAGACTTAGAGAAGGTCTACAGCATCCAAATTGGCTAAGTAGGTCATAAAAACCAAAAAAGTAAAAATACATAATAAATAAGATAAAGGACATAGCTACAACCACAAAGAAGTCTACACAAGTTTAGGGACTGTACTAAGTTTAAAAAACACAGGCTGCTCTTTGGGTCATAAAGTTCTTGTGGGTAAAGGGATATGTCTAGTGATGATTAATAATTGTGTGCTTACTGTTTTTTTTAAAGATGATGTAATTGAATTATTGCCAAGCTCTCGTTGATAGTTTTCTTTTCTGTATATAAACTACCGATTTATAAAAGTAAAATTACAACAGATTCAAACCACTTCTGAGTGTGTTGTCTGTCTGTCATTTGCCGAATCCTTGCCTTCCTGACTACCCAAGCCCTGGTTCTCCTACAGTCGTGGTACTCCCGGTGGGCCAGTCTGTGGCAGGTTTTAGTTGTACTTTTGTTTATGTTATTACCCTTTGTTTTTCCTGGACAATACTTGATAATCATTCTTATTGTATATAGTTTGCATTAAGTTTAGAACCTTCTTATTTAGACAAAAAGGGAAAATGTAGTGGTATTTTCTCTGCCCATGAGACTATATCACCCAAAGGTGACTATAGACCTTGGACTATATCACCCAAAGGAGGCAATGCTTCCTCTTGTTGTACATGACCTCTTATAACAGAAGGGAGAAGGGTCACATGCCCCTTCTCCCTGCTCCTGCCTATGAGGTGGATTTACTCCCAGTCAGATCAGAGGATGACTGCAGCTGTCTACTCTGTTCTGTAATCGTGAGTGTATTTCCTCAGTTTATATCTTGATAAATTCTGTTACCCATTTAATAGACTCATGTGGTGTTGGGCCCCATAAGGCCTGTGCATGAGACCCAGTGTAACTTCCCGAGGCTAGCTCGTTTGGCGACCTGTGTTCAGACATGACTTCTACATATGAGTGACTCAGCTCAACCTGACCTAGAATCATCTCTGCCTAGTAACTGCTGAGATGGCATCATCTCATTGGCCCGCTTTCCTCACCCTACCCCCTGTCACCCCAACCTATATATATATAAGTCCACTCCTGATGCAATAAAGCAAGTTCCTGCTTTGACAAGGCTCCCGGCTCAGTGTGCTTCTCTCTGGTGGAATGGGAGGGGGGGTCTGGGCCGTTGACACTCACCATTCCACTCAGCCCCAGGGAGAGACTGGCTGGACCAGTCCTGCCTTCACCCTACCTGTCGGTCAGACCGACAATGTGGATTGATCATAATAATATGGGGACACTCCAATTTGCACTAAATGCAGTTTATGTTATGGGAAATTCATAAACCTTATGTATGGAATATTCTCAATTATTTGTGAACTGTCTTCTAATAAAACCAATATTCTTTTACCCAAAATAGAGGTGCCATTTTTGAAAAGCTGTGGGATCTTTAAAAGTTAAGGAATGCCCTGTACAGTAGATTACTAGAGCCATCCCCTTGAAGATTATTCCAATTCTTAGTTTCAGAACTGATTCACTATACCATGCTTTTTTCATTTAGATGCACTTAAACTCTCTAAAATGATGTGCCCAAACGATTCTTTGTTTGTCAAATGGTATTTGTCACATGACTTAAGGAACTGATACAGTATCATAGAACAGACAAAATTTCATAGTAAATTTCCTTTTCTCCTCCTATCCTTGCCACCAATGAAAGAATAAATTCTACTGCACAAATATTGTTCAAAATAAATTCTAATCAGGGCTTGGTTCTGAGGCTTAAATCATCTTAAAAACAAATATTGACACACCACATATATTTTTTCACTTATAAAACTATTTTTGAAACAGAAAATCCCTGCATATATATTTATTTCAAACTGTAAATAATGACCAAGGAAAGTGTTCCAATGCAATGATTTAACTAAAGCAGATCTCCAGCCTTGATGGAGAGGGGAGGAGCTTGGTCTTGCTTCAACTTGGTAAGTCATACTTTGTTGGCTCTCATAGGAGGCCTTACCCTTCTTGAGGAGTGGATAGGGGTGGGTAGAAAGGAGGTGGGAAGAGGGAGCAGGATGAGAAGAGAGAGGGGGAAACTGTGGTTAGTATGTAAAATAAATAAAAAAATTAGTAAAAAGAAAAACAAGGTAACAAGAGAGGGATCAATATTTGCTGATTGCTTTTCATGGGGCACTCATTCAGTCAACAGAAGAGGCTTCAGTAGGTTTCATTTTACCAGGAGTTACTGGAATAGCAGTAAAAAAGACATTGCAAAAACAATCAGGATTGCTACTATGTATAAAAAGGAACAAGTTCTGGCGAGGGTGAGAATGTAACCTTGTGCCTTGCTGATGAGGATGGAGATGAAGAAGGAGCTGGGGGTACAGAATGGCACCTCCTCCCAAAGTTAAATGGGGAATCACCATATGACTTTTTATGCACATTTATACTTACTTCACATCTGTATTTATTCCCGAAAGAATTTCATGCCAGGCCTCAGATAGTCAGGTATCTCTGAAAACACAACAGCTGCATTACTCACTGTAGCTGAAAGTAACCAAGAAGAAATCCATTCATGGGTAAATGAATAAACAATAGATAAACAAACACAAAAAAACCCCTAAAGCAGTGCTCATTTACATAAAGAAGATATGAATGAACCATCAATGACCATCATCAAATATTGTATGACTATATTAGTAACTAGAAGAGCTAAAGGGAATTATAGAAATCAAGTTGACTCAAACAACTTTGAATTGATAACTCCATTAAATTTACTCAATAACTTTGGACACTCGAAAATGATGTCTTCTAAAAATGTTCATGTTACAAAGCACATAAACATATATATATAAACATATATACATATATACATAAAATACATCAAGAGAAGGAAGGTAAATATAAAATAAACACTGAAGATAACATAATATATTAATACAACCTAATCTAATAAATCAAGATAAACACATGGAAATAAACACTGAAGATAATATAATAGTATAATATACTACCATATAATAAAACAAACAGGTGAAAACAACACTGAAGATTATGTAATATAATACTATAATATTCTAAAGCATAAAATAAAAATGTGCTTTTTCTTGAAGCAATAATTGGAGAAGGGGCAGATTTTCTTCTGAGTTGTCTTGTTGTGGATGGTAGGAGAAGTTGTCAGGCAATTGTCTCAGGCTTGTCCAAGTTCTTAGGATGAGAATAATCCATTTTACATGCACAGTGCTCTCTTCTGTTTTATAAACTATATGGTGAAAAGAGCTAGTTAGAGCATTCATGAAATGCATTTCTAGAACACGTGTGCCAATAGAGATGTTTTGTAAAGTCCACCCTCCATCCATCATGAACATTCTATTTAATAATTAGCTATTTCCTTCATATTTATGACAAGTCTTATGCTCCATGACATCTGTGAACCTTAATGCTAACACCTAACTCTAACTTTAAATCTACTCTAACTATATAACCTGAAGCCTAATCATAAAACTCAACTTAGTCTTAAACTCTAAATTGGATCCTAACTCAGTATGTAATAACAGTGAGGAAAACATGGAGGATGATTAGGAATAACTTTTCTTCTTACAAATGAAAGTGTTGTGTTAGAAACTGATTTATATTCTTATTACATTTTCAACACCATGCTATTCCTTTTCTAAAGAATTCATCCTCTCACCCTCCACCAGGTACACGGCCCCATTGTCCTCCTTTATGTCCAGTGTTTGAAACTGTTCATATTCTTTAGCTCCCAGCTTTCTCTTTTCAGCTTTGTTTCCTAATATTCCTGAACTTTTGAAACATACATACATACATACACACATTCTAGATATCTATACCTCTGTCTATCTATCTATCTATCTATCTATCTATCTATCTATCTATCTATCTATCTATCTGATCCATCTAAATAGCTATACATATTTATATTTATGACAGTCTTGATTTAGCCAGTTGTTGATTCATGAGATGAATATTCCATTGATAGTTAACTCTTTTTTATCCCTCATGTTGCACTGAAATACTTATATTCCTGAGCTGGAAAACTGAGTATATATTTTAGATAAACATTCTTTCTAATACATTTTAAAACAAAATATAACTCTTATCATCCCTTTTTTATGTCTTCTCTTCTATTTCTTGTGGTGGGGAGAAGAGCTCCATTTTTTGGTGAAACAAGCACCAAAACATGCTCTTATAGCATCAATCTGAAAGAGATTATATAAAGTAAGGAGTTTATAAATTGAACATTAAAACAATATCATGAAAGATTTGAACCATCCTATTCAGCCAAAAAGGGCAACTATGGCTGACTGCATATTTTATGTACATTTATAATTTTAGAATAAATTACAATACTGTGAGAATTAAGTATGTAAGCTCCAGTGCCCAGCCTACTAGGACTCCTTCACTAAGAGAGGGACTCTGAGTTCTAGGCTCAGGGCTACCTCTGATGTTCCAGAAACTCCAGAACCAGATGAAAGATCCTGACTTCCCCTTAGGGCTACATAAGATACCCGTGAACTTTGTCTTGGGGCCTGGCTTGAACGGTCTCCTATAACAACATAGGGCACAGGGATTTTCCTCCGGGATCCCAGGCAGCATGACCTCCTGCACCAAGTGAGGGACCCACCTTCTGGAGATTAGGCCCACTGATGAACTCACAAACTCCATGACCAGTTGAGAGGCTCTTGCTCCTTTGATTAGATCTATTTATTCTGCTTGGGAACATTCCTCCAGGTGGCCAGGTTTCACCTGCCAGGCACCACCTGTATTGACACAGGAACTTGGCTCTAGGCTTAGACAGAGGCTGACTCACAGAAGAAGGATAGGACTAGAGCTTGTGGCCCTCGAGATCAGTGGCACAGAGGAAAAATTGCATCTCAACCCTACCAGATTTAGTCTCTCCTATCATTTTAAATGCCTCCATTGAAACATAAGGTGTCTTGAAAAAAGGGGGAGGATTAAGTAAAATCCAACTAACAAACTAAAATGTCTTCTGAAAAATTATTGATCACTTAGTAAATACCTATAAAGAGAATGATGTGGATGAAATTCAGGACAAAGAATTTAAGAGAATGATTTTAACTATATTCAAGCAATTCTGAGATAATAAAAATCTGGGCTGAATCTAATAAAATAGAAATTAAAACGTTTCAATAGAGCTCACCGGGCAATATGAGAGAGGGTGAACCAGATCTGAGGACCTAAGAGCAGGAGAACTGGCCCTCCTGCATTGGGTGAGCTGGCCTAGGCAGTGATGGAGAACTCATCTGGGTAGCGATGATAGTGAAAGGCTAACAATCTGGCCAACCCAGCTACCATCCAGGCCCAGAACCAGAGCTATGAGTTGGTCCACCCCAAATCCACAAAATCTATGAACTGTTGGAGAATGTGAAGGGGACAAACCCACAGATCCAAAACAGCAGGACCTCCATGACACAGGACGACAACAGGATGTTCAAGAGGAGCATCAGGGAGAGCCCATTGTTGGTGGTGTAACAGAAACCAGAGGATTTGAACCAGACCAATCACTCACGGTAATGAACACTTGCAAGTTAAAATGAACAGACTAAAGGATAACCTCTGTATCTCAGCAGGCCACACTACTGCTTCCATATAAGATTTTCCTTTCTATTTTTGTCTTTCAACTTTCAATGAAATTTAGAAATCACAAAAAGATATTTAAAAATCTCCATTGAAAGTAATTCTAAAATCTGAAAGAAATGGATGTATTTCTAGATTCATTGTCTGCAATGAAATTAAGTCAAGAGGAAGGAGATGGCTATATATCTATATATATCTGCACTATTGAGATTGAATAAATAACAAAATGCTTTTCAACTAAAAACTAACTAGGACCAGATGGATTATTTGCAGAATTCTACAGAATACCAAAGAAAAGTGAATATCATTGCTAGGCAGATCATTTCATGAAATAGATGAACAAAGGATTTCTCCTAATTTTTTATGAAGCCTGTAATACTTTGATAACCAAACTAGATAGACTCACAAAAAAGAATTAAAACCACAGACTGATTTTCATGATGAGCATAGACACAAAACTTCTAAATATGAGACTGACAAACTGGGATTTGAGAGATGCCTCAGCATTGACAAGTACTGCCTATTCTTCTAGAGGACCCAGGTTCAATTCCCAGCATCCACATTATATCTCACAGCTGTCTGCAACTCCAGTTCCAGGGAATTTGATGCTCTCTTCTGGCCTCTGAGTATCAAACACACATTTTATGCACAAGAATACATGCAGACAAATAACCATATATATAAAAATAAAAAAAACCGACATTGGCAGAGAGTTTATAATCACAGCAAAAGGATTACTAATTATGGCCCTTTTGGTTTCATTCAAGAATGCAGGGAGGTACAAATGTATGTAAATCAATAAATACTACAAGTCACATAAGTAGGATGAAGAAATTCACATGATCATCTCAACATGTGCATGAACAACCACTAACACAGTTGAACATTTGGACCTTAATGATAAAAGTCATGGAGAGGCTAGGTATGGATAGAGAATATATCACAATTATACAAGATATAAACAACAAGCCTACAATCTACATCTTCTTTTTTTTCTACATCTTCTTAAATGGAGAAAAATATTAATCTAACCATTATGATGAGAAAAAAGGCAAGCATTGTTCACTATCTTTATACTTTTTCAATGAAAAGCTGAAGTCCTAGATAGACCAATAAGGCAAGAAAGATCTTAAGGCATACAAAGTGTAAGATAACTCAGAATGCTCTTACTTACAGATATTAGGATTTTATCATCTGTAAAAGGTGTTAAGGCTCCACAAGAAGTCTTACAGCTGATAAACACTATAGCAAATTAGCAGTTCACAAATTTAACACCAAAATCAGTGATGAAAAACTGAATAAAAAAATCAAGGAAAGAATTCCACTTACAAGCCCTAGGATACAGAATCAACCTGAATATCCAACAGCAGATGAATGAATAAGGAAAATGTGGTATATACACACAATGGAATATTACTCAATGTAAAGAAAAATGAAATAATAAAAATTGCAAGTAAATTAATAGAACTAGAAGAAGAACTCAAAGAGGCCAGCTAGGATCAGAAAAGCAAATGTGATGAGCTGATATGTAGATATTAGACTCTTGTATGTTCAATTAGGATTACATGAGGAAGCCTAGAAATTAAATATGGTCTATTGTAGATGGAGCCATTGAAAGGGAGATAGTAAAATACATGTAAAATTAAATCAGAGAAGGAGAATACTGGATGTTGATAGTTTCAATCATGGAGGAATTGGAGGATAAAGGAGAGGTAGTTGAATGCCTAATAAAAATGAAGGGCTATGAAAAAGCCTTCTAGAAAATATGATCTTGCAAATTAAGTTAAATATAATTTGAGGGGAGATAGAACGTGGGTGACAAGAAATAACAATGGAACAATACTCTGGGCTAAGGTTTAAGTGGCAATGAAGGTAGAATAAGAGCAGGGACTAAGATATAATTGGACATAAACTAAGGCTGTATGAGGGCTTGTGGCAGCTACTAGTTTGTCAAATAGTTTAAAAGACATACTGAAAAAAGAGTTTGTTCAGAGATACCTGGAATGTGTTGACTTCTTTCAGAAGATAGGAGATTTATATTGAAACTCCAAAACCAGGGACAGATACCTCCATACGAGTTATTGGTCAAGTAGGCCTCCATGCCACCACAAATAACACAGTCTATTGCCACACATTCTGATTGTTTGCCATAACTCAATGACAAGACTCCCTTGTTGAAGACACCACACAGTCTGGTTGCAGGGAATTTAGAACTCAATACTAACTGACAAGGAAACTCTGGCTTTCATAACAATAAAAGTTGTAGTTCAGGCTGCTGGTGGTGAAATACATCAAGAGTCTATCCAGTCCTGGACCTTTCATATGATAACACTGACCAGCCAGGCAAGCTGTCCACAATGGTTGTATGGTGGTTATGTAAATAACCAACCTTCATGAATGGATGTGAGGATGGATTAAGTGACTGATGCCCTAAACCTTGTCAAAAGCTTATGTCTGGGACAGTCATAGGCTAGTCAAGGAGAATCAACTAGTGCTATTATTATTTATGTTTATATCTATAGGTTTGTTCTGCTCTCATTGTTGGTCAGATAATTTTTTTTCCAGAGGGTAGTAGTTAATGTAGAGACTCATAACTAATTAACGTGATAAAGATAAAGATATCACCAGTGTTATGGTGATATTTTATTTGTGCTGAAATGTGATTTTATTTATATGTTAATAAATAAAGTTGCCTGGGGATCAGAGCTAAAGCAAGCCATTTATCAGAAGTCTGGCAGTGGTGGCACATGCCCTTAATCTGATCACATGGCAGGCAAAGTCTCTATGTGTTCAAGGACACAGCCAAGCGGCAACCCTTGAACCTTTAATCTCAGTATGACACATAGATACCTGGAGCTCTGTATAGACAGGCACTGATGAGGAAACCATGTGGTTGGGTTTAAAGCCAATGAGAAGGAAGAACAGAAAGGCAATAAAAAGACAGGTCACACAGGAGAAGGTCTCTCTCTTAGGGGAAGGACGGCAGTGACTGGTAAGCTAAAGGCTTCGCTAGTGCTCTGTTTTTTTGGGCTTTTAACTCTGCATTTGTCTCTGTGTTTCTTATTTAATAAGACTGTTTAGAATTTCATCTACACAGTGTGAAGACTCATCTGCAGATGGGTCTTAACCTCCCACTACTGAAAGTTCAAGAAAAAATGAGGAAGAATGGTCAGAAAACAATGTCAGAGTTTGAATCTGGAGAGAAGTACATTGAAATGTTCTTTTTGGGACATGACATAACCGATGCACAGATCAACTCAAAACAGCTTTGTCTTACACTAAACTTGCACAAATTGAAGCCAGTCAGGATTCCGGCATGAACGAGGAAGCATCTCTCAAGGTCCCGGCACCAGCTGAAGAGCAATCAGCCATGGGTGGATGCGGGCTTGTGGTTGCTGGCAGGTTTCTCATGCCCCAGTAGGTGTCTTCACACACATTCACAGATGGTCAGCCCTACTTGGACTCAGTGGGCCAATAATAATAATTTTAAGAGACATTAAATGAAGAATAACAATAATAATGATGATGAGTACCACCAGCATGAGGTGGAGGGTGAATATAGGTTTCAAAAAAAAATAACAATAATATTTAAAAAATATTTATTTTCAATGCATTAATTCTAAAAGATATACTAAGTTAACTGTATTTGGCCTATGGAACATTACTGTGGAAACAGCATAAAGTGTGCAATATAAATTTAAGTATTACAAATGGTCGCTTAGTTTTTCTACCCCTGTGCCTTCTCTGCTCTTCTTTTGAGGTATGCTTTTGGTCTTCCATGACAGATTCTGTTAAGAAGTGCACATATTTCACCAAGTAAAGTACAATGAACATTTAGGGAAAAAGCTATTGCTATAATGAATATACATTAGGGATGAGAAAATACTTATTTTCATTTCCCCAAGCAATAGTTTGACTTAAGTATAAACTGCAGTGGAAATATTTAACTTATCTTTCCTGCTTAATAAAGGATCTCTCTCTAAAACAGGTGTTTGGGTGTGGTTTTTGCCTAATCAGAGGTCTGGGAAGCAGCCTCCACTGTTTCCCCTTCACTTACATATTCAGATTGATCTCATATATTTCTGAAGATAAAGCAAAAGAAAATGGACACCTGAGAGGTGGGAGCAAGGACTCTGTCTTTGACAAACAAAATCTTATCTGTTGCTCAGATTTGATAATGTGTGTGTGTGTTATTACCATTCTACTAATCCTTTTGCTTACTATACATGTAGTTGTCTGTTTATAACAGGTAAGGTTCTGCTCTATACACAATTGTTCTATATAACAAGTATATTTTAAAATGTACTACTTACTTTTCTCTAGATGCCTTATTACATTTTTTTTTTCCTGCATCATTGTCCATATTGGATGAATGGGGAGCTTCTGTGGAAGATTCCTGCAGTCCATTAGGGTCACACACACTGTGTCAAAAGAGTATTGGTAACATATTTTAGAAAGGTCTTATTTGATTTCTAAGAACATACCTGAATTCCTAATTTTATGACAAGTGTACTTGAAATTCTATGTAGTTTATATTGAAGACAAAGATGTTTTAATAGCAAATCTATTGTGCCTGTTAAAGTTTAAATCTATCCTTCATTTCTCATGGCACCTTACTATGTAAGAGGTGAAAAGAAAGGAAACACATTCATATGATATGACCTGATGCACAATATTAACAAAAACAAAAGTAACTACTTGAATATAAGAATTGTTAACACTAATTTATATTCCCAAATGAATTAGGAGGATATTTATAAAATAAAGAAGTGCCTACCCTATTACCAGGAAAATTTCTTTAAACAGTGTGGTACTTTGAATGCAATTGGGCCCCATAAGCTTATAGGAAGTGTCGCTATCAGGAGATGTGGCCTTGTTTGGAGGAGATGTGACCTTGTTGGGGGAAGTTTGTCCCTGTGGGGGCCATGTGAGGTCTCCTATGCTCAAGCTATACCCAGAGTAGACACAGGCTCTTTTACTGCTTGCTGATCAAGATGTAGAAATCTTGGCCGGGCAGTGGTGTCGCACACCTTTAATCCCAGCACTCGGCAGGCAGAGCCAGGCAAATCTCTGTGATTTCGAGGCCAGCCTGGGCTACCAAGTGAGTTCCAGGAAAAGGTGCAAGGCTACACAGAGAAACCCTGTCTCGAAAAACAAAACAAAACAAACAAACAAAAAAAGATGTAGAAATCTCAGCTCCTTTATCCAGAACCATGCATGCTGCCATGTTCCACCTTGATGATAATGGACAAAACCTCTGAAATTTGAACCCACCCCAATTAAATATTTCCCTTTGTAAGAGTAATCATGGTCATGGTGTCTCTTCCCAGCAATAGAAACCCTAACTAAGATAAACAATATTGATTTGATTTCTACTTAATGTGGTGGTATTGTGTTCCCCAAAATATTGTGTACCCTAATAAACTTATCTGGGGTCAGAGAACAGAAAAGCCACTAGATAGGATAAGCAGTGGTAGCATACACCTTTAATCCTAGCATTCCAGAGGCAGAAATCCATCTGTTCAAGAATACAGCCAAGCATGGTGACTCACGCCTTTAATCCCAGAAAGTGAGCCTTTAATCCCAGGGAGTGGTGGTAGAAAGCAGAAAGGTATATAAGGCATGAGGACCAGAAACTAGAAG